CCACACGAAGTCGTTCTTATTTTTGAAGAGTGAGAAAAAGTGGTGGCATTTTTCCGAGGACCTCGAGTTGAATCTGTCGAGAGCTGCTAATTTACTGGTTATCCTATGTACTTCCTTCACACTTGTTAACTGGTCTAGTATGTCCTCGATGGTTTTGATTTAGGGTTTACCTCGATCCCTCTTTGCGGGATCAGAAACCCCCAAAATTACTGAAGCCAACTTTGAAGGCATATTTCTCCAGGTTGAGTTTCATGTTATGCTTTCGCAAGATGTCGAACGTTTCTTAAAGATATTTCAGATGATATCCTGCATTTAAAGACTTAACTAATATGTCATCAATATACACTTCCATCGGTTTGCCTATCTGATTCTCAAACATCTTATTAACAAGTCTCTGATAAGTGGTTCCGGTATTTTTAAGCCCAAAAGGCATCACATTATAGTTTGTTATGAAGAAAGTCTTTTCATGATCCTCTGGGTTCATCTTAATCTGATTATACCCGGAGTAATAATCAAGAAAACTCATTAGCTCGTGCCCGACGCATCAATCATTTGATCAATGTTTGGCAACGGGAGTGAGTCTTTGGGATACGCCTTATTTAAATCCTTATAGTCCACACACATCCTAAATTTGTTATTCTTTTTAGGTACTACAACTACGTTAGCTAACCATTGAGGGTACTTTACCTCTTAAATCGAACCGGAGTTAAGTAGTCAGGTTACCTCTTCCTTAACAAACCTATTCCTAACCTCTACTATCGGGCGTTTCTTTTGCCTTACCGGTGGGAAGTTTGGATCCAGACTCAGTTTTTGGACCAGTATCTCCAATGAGATACCTGTCATATTTGAGTGTGACCACACAAAGCAATCAACGTTAGCTTTAAGAAAATTTATAAACTCTAACCTGAGCTCGGGATTTAACCTCGTTCCTAAATGAAACTTTCTTTCCAAAAATTCCTCGAATAGGGTCACTTGCTCGAGCTCCTATGCGGTTGACTTGGTTGCATCCATTTCTTCTGGTACCTGAAAATATCTCGGTACCTGATAGGATTCTGATGACTCCTCACCTTTCTCGGAAAGGGAGAAGGTCCTGTAATTGCTATTTGGTGGTTTCTTTCCCCTTGCTGCTTGAAACGGTCACCGCGTTCATCTCCTTTGCTATCGATTGGTCTCCTCTTATGGTGTCAGAAACCTCAATAACTGATGATACGTCAAGGGCACATTCTTCATTTCGTGTATCCACCACGTTGAACATGGTGGTCTTTGTTACAACTTCGACGTGAGTGGGTAGCAGAATATCTCCTCGGGTTATCATGTTTGCCATATTGAATCCAGCTAGAAGCTTTGTCGGTGGAATGATGTTCCCGGTTAATTTTTCTTGCTCCGTAACTCTCTATTGCATGATATTGGCTGAATTTCCTGGATCAACCAAAATACGCTTAATTTTGAAATCTAATACGTTAAGTGAAATTACCACCGTGTCATTGTGCGGTAGGTGAAGTCTATCAACATCTTCTTCCGTGAAGGTGATGTCGTCTAATGAGACTTCCCGAACCCTCTTTTCATGAGTCACTGATATTTTCGTCTTTTTTGATTTTGAAAATGTCACCCTATTGACTTCTCTCCCTCCGAAGTTCATGTTGATTGTCATCCAAGGTGACCCTGCTGCTGTCTTTGAGGGTTTCACGTTATCCCAGCTCTGACCATAATTATTTTTGGTTTGGTTACTTAAAAACTCTATAAGATGGCTATTCTTTAATAATGTCGCCACCTCCTCGTGAAGATGTCGGCAGTCCCTAGTTCTATGGCCGGGAGTCCCATGGAATTCACATCACAGATTAGGATCCCTCTGGCTAGGATCCAATCGAATTGGTTTTGGAAACTGTGCCGCTTTGATGTTTCTAATTGCCGACACCAGTTCTACCAGGCTGATATTGAAGTTGTAATCAGGTAACATGGGATACGCGGGATCCCGGTGCCTCTTTCTTCTGCAACGATATTCTATTTCGACCGTGATCCATCCTTTTGTCGAAGGCGAGCCTTTCCAATAACTGGAACCCTTTATTACTACGTTCATCAGTCCTTTTGTATGGTAGAAAATGGCCCCTAGAAGACCTATGATCCGTATCAAAGTCATTTTAAAACTTATCCTGATTTTTATCGCGACCTCGTCCTTTGGATGATATCGAAGAGCCAAGTTGATCATTGTTTATCCTTATCTTTGACTCGTAGCGATTATGGACATCTACCCATGTGGTTGCTTGAAACTCGAGCAAGCTTTCCTTTACTTTTCCGGAGCCATCAGAACTCAATAGATTTGTACCCTTCATGAATGCCTTCGTTTCCCATTCATCTGGAATCGTTGATAACCTTAACCATTCTTTTTGGAATCGGATCACGAATTCTCGTAGTAGCTCGGATTCGCCTTGCAAAATTCTGAATATATCTGCCTTTCTAGCATGGACCTTTCTTGCTCCCGCATGAGCTTTGATGAACGAATCTGCAAGCATTTCAAAAGAATTGATTAAATGTTCGGGTAAGAGGGAATACCATGTTACGGCCCCCTTCGTGAGGGTTTTACCAAACTTCTTCAACAGAACTGACTCGATCTCATGTTGAGCCAACTCGTTTCTTTCACTGTCGTGGTGTAGGTCATGATATGCTCCTGTGGATCCGAAGTCCCATAATACTTTGGTATGTCTAACATCTTAAAGCTCTTTGGGATTAACTCTGCTGCCGCACTTGGTTTAAATGGTAATTGCGTGTACTTTTTCAAATCTGGACCCTTTAACACCCGCGGCGCGCTCGGGATCTGATCCATCTGAGCATGAAACCCCTTTGCATTCTGATCCATTCGTTCATTCATCTCTCTCATGAATCCCACGAGCTCGATTTTGAAAGGATCACTCAAGTTATTGTTCTCAGATCCACTGCTGGTACTTCCGGTTCCGTCAAAACTGACCTCATCCGTTCAAATATAGTTATCGATCCTTTATGTCATCTGATTTGCGGGAGCGTTGGGATGAACCGGGGCCCTTCCATTAGCGTTATTAGAAGCACCTAATAACGCTTGCTTTAATTCCGTTATCATACGGTCTTGCCTCGAGAGGTAGTTCATGATTGCTCTTTGCTGCTCTGTCATGAGTTTAACCATTTCTGCAACGTGTTCGTCCTCCACATCATTAGGAGTTGGCCCCCCACACATGCCGAGGATATTGTCCTTTGCGAACTGGGGTTGTTTCATCCCCTTCGATGCAGGTTTCGCTGATGGAATCATCACGTTGTGACACCTATTCCCGTTCATCGTGTGCTCCAACGTTGTGAGCGTTGTCGACATCATTGGCTGCCATATCTGACTTTTACTTAAGAAAAAAAATGAAACTTGTTAGTAACACACGAATGGATCAAAGCAATTACACAGATGTCTATGCCCCACGGTGGGTGCCAAGCTGTTTACCCATAAAACTATATAGTTAAATTTATAGAGTGATTTATAGACAATCGAATCAATTTGATCCAAAAATGATAAAGAAATAGGAATAATGATAAGATTAACAACTGAGATTAAAAGAGATAATAAGCCTGATTCTGAACTCGGTCTTTCCGAGAGGAAGAACAAAAATAATGATAAAGCAATGACAAAACTATGTCAATTGAGCGTAAAATAGTAGACTATAGCTTTTGTGTGCAGAATATTTCATTCTCAACAATGGTTACTAATCTTGCTATTTATAGCCTCTACTTAGGGGGAAAAGATCCTAAAATCAAGCTCTTCTTGAATGAGAATAAAAACGTCATTGATGGGTGAATAACGACTAGCTTTGAATGCAGATATTCTCTGTAACAGCTGCTCATTAAATACTACCCGATGTCAAACCTTTGAATCTCTATTGTTGGCTATGTTCCATTCGGAATCCATCCTATACAGGTTACACCCTTCATACTCGATGCCAGTTTTTTGTTGACCCATCTTTTGCTTGTCCTCGTTTCCACGTGTCATCTCTCCATTTGACCGATCACTTGTAATCAATCAATTTCACCCCACACAATAAAGAACTCCTTATTAAAGATGACTGTATTTCCCGAGCTCGAATCCAGAACATTTAATTAAGAATGGAATGATATGTACTATCCCAAATATTTTTTTAATTTCAGCATTATAAATGACCATGAAGGCCCATTTCCCCCGCAACCTTTGGTGAACTATGACTTTATTATACAATGAATTTGCTACTAAATTATGCTTATCTAAATCTGATCTTTAGTGTATCTTTCTCTTTTCCTTGTCAAATATGATGGTTCCGCTTGATCACGCGCAATTCCAAAATGGGATAATTTTCGGACAAAACAATGATCATATTTTTGGTAAATACTTTTTACAGAAAGGAGACCTTTCTACTGTCCTGGAAGTACATGCATGATACACTGTTTGAACTTTGAAGCACTACTGAAATGATAAAATGCATAAACAGAATGCTAAGCGGACCCAGGGTTCTAAGAAGTACAATAATGATCCCTCCAACATTCTGAAAGTTACACTTATTTTCTTTCCTTGACTTCGGAGGAAATATTTGGAATTTCATTTTGTTTCTAATATAGTCCGAAGAAAGTATATCTTTCCGTTGGTGACGGAACCAAGAATTTTGATTTAAAATAATTTTGTAGTTAATTACTTTTGCCGTTACACTAAAAATTATCATAGGATTTAATAATTTATAGGAATTTATTTTTAGCAGTATAATTCTCTCCCGAAAGAAATTCAATTAATGAACCTCTTTTTGGATATATAATGTAATTCAACTCTTGCTTTTCACGATGTATAAGAAATTATGATTTATGCAACCCTTTCCCTTATCCCAATACTTAAAAAGTAATTTGATTTCATGATTATAAGTTCATTTTATATCGGATACAAAAAACAAAGAGAGACAATCCTAAAACGACAATGTAAATAATCCCCTATATGTGGAGAATTCCATTCTAGCAAAGAGTTATATATATTCATGAAAAAACCACTAGTGATAATTCAAGGAAAGACATTGGAGCATACATAATATTGGACAGCCTATAAATAGTATGTAATATTCGATCTAGTCGAAGGTCACAATATAATATACTAGTAACAAATTAAAAAGACTTCCATCCCACATCTAATTTTGACAAATTTTTAACAGTTGTCTCAAAAATCAATAATGATTGTTCCACATTGTAGTCAAGCCCACCTCAGACAAGAAGCTAGTTTCAGAACTTCCTTCCCCAAAGCTTGTAGGAGAACCTCCTGCTTTTACGTTCACAGTATTACGGGCAGGGTTATTGTTGTTATGACTACCTTCCATAATATTCAGATGACTTAAAACAGCTTTTATTACTTTGTTGTCACACGAAGAGGATGTTGCAGCTGCATTTAAGTACGTTCCAATATCAGCTGGCAAACCGCCGTACGCATCGGTAGCTCCGGCGGTGGGGATGTGGTGGCTGTGGGAGCTGAAAGTTTGGTTAGGGTTGAAAATGGAGAAGCAGGGCACTTGCTCATAGTATAATTCATTCATATTAATAGTATTAATATTAATATTGTTAGGCTGTGTTTGGTCAAAAGTGATATAAGGATCCATTAATGGCGGTAGATATGAAGAGCTTATCGTGTCATGTTCATGATAGATGCTGCTTCCTGTTCCTTGTTTGACAGCAAGTAATTCTTTGTTCTTGTGGAATACTCGGCATAACACCCAATCCTCCTGCTTCATTTTATACAACAAACAAATTAAAGTCAGTACTTAATTTTTACACAATCCATAAATTTTAACTTATTGTACTTATAATGTACATTTATTCAGAATAGTAATCATTGCTTTCTGAGGAATGAAAACAGAAAGTTAAAAGGAAAAAATAAAGTTTATTTTTATGAAAGAACGTGACGTGACGCGCTCATTGCTCAAGGACAGGGGATTAGGTTAGGTTCATGCGTTGTTATCTGAAAAACTGAAAAATGGAATTAATTTCTGATTTAGCTTAGATTTTGGAAGAATCATGAGATATATTTCATATTATACTAGCACTGATCATTACTAACATCTTGTATAACGATTGTGCTAGATCTGTCTCACTTAAGATGGACATTATTAACTTTTAGTAGTATATTGTTTTATAAAATATTCACAGATTCCAAGAAATCAAATTAGTATTTGATGGCATATATGTTATACTGAGTGCTTTGAAACTATGGTTTTATATTTTCTCTACTGTATATTTAATATATAAGTTGAATTAATATTTTAGTTCAGTCGAATTACTTAAGCTTTGCATAAAGTAGTTAAGTTGGTCAACTACTAATACAGTTTTTTTAAAGAAAAAAGAGTTCTTATATTTGTCATAACTCATAAAACCATATTCTTTACATGATAGAAGAAACTTCTAATGATGTTACAGTTGAATATAAAAAGATTCCCAGTTGAACAGCGCACTTACAGCGATTGGATTAATTAACTAAGTAGGCCCCAAAAAAATATAATTTAGATTATTAAGCCAAAAGTTCATAATCATGGGCGAAAAATATTGTATCAACCGTCATACTCATACATAATGTACAGGCACATTTTTTATTTTGCACAGCGACAATTTTTTTCTCATTTCATAATTTCTCAAATCAAATTGAACAGATTATGAATGAATGGACAGTTCTCTCAATTGAAAACTACTCTTATCTACCTTTTTATAGTTTTATAATTTTCATAATATAATAATTAATTAATGATTTTTTTTATGGACCTAAATGCTGCAAGTCGTCAAATGTGATGCTTTTATCGGCAATACCCATTCAGCAAATAATTTTCACTCTTTCCTTTTNTCTACCTTTTTATAGCTTTATTATTTTCATAATATTATAGTTAATGATTTGTTTTATGGACCTAAATGCTGCAAGTCGTCAAATGTGATGCTTTTATCGGCAATATAATACCCATTCAGTAAATAAATTTCTTTTTTTTCCTTTTAGATTGTTCAAAAACATTATCCATAAGTTTCAGTTTGGATGTTGATTTTTTTTTGTAGTTAGAAGAGAATTTCCAATCTTATCATGTTTTTAATCATTAAGCTGCCAAATGACATGTTTTCAATTGTCTGAGATAATCCAAGTGAAGGGTTATACCTAGACAGGTGTGAGTTAGTGTTTAAAAGCTAGGAATTTGAGATATATAGTATATTAGTAAAATAAAATCTTCGAACTCTTTCTATTGCACCATTACCAATGACAATATCTTAATAACCCTCGCGCGTTATCCCTAAAACCAATAACTATTGTTCTTATGATGTTAATTATTATTTTTAACAAATTATCAATAATCGTTTATCATAAAAACTTATATGTAAGTATCTTATAAGTAGTTTGACTGTATAAACACCCTTGAATGCATAAAACTCAAGTTCATAAATAAGAAATTGGTAGTAGTGAAAATATGTACCTTGAGGGAAGAAATATGAGGGGAAGTAGTTTCGAGGCGGAACTCATGCATGACCCAATCAGTTTTTCTTCCTTTAGGAGCTCTGCCTTGGTAGAAAACTAGGGTTTTCCTCATTCCCACAAGGCTTCCTTTTCTCATTATTGCCCTATCTTTTCCGGTTGCCTTCCAATATCCCGATACCGTCGCCCTGTTTGTTCGCAGTCCCGTCGCGTATTTTCTGTCACGTTGGCTGTAGAAGTACCATTCCTTCCCTCCAACACATGCCACTTCTGCACAGATATATAATTATGGAATTTCCACACTATATATTAGTCTAGCTACCAAAAAGATAGCTAGTTATAGATAAATGTTCATGAATAGTAAGATGAAAATTATATAAACTAATAAAATAAGATTCACGATATAAATATTATTTATACAATTAGGAACTTATTACATGTACTAATCACGTAGAAACGGATCTAGGATTTAAACTTTATGAGTTTACATTCGCAATTCTACCACATCCTATCTAATTTAGTGGGTTCAAAATCTATTATTTATACATATTTACTATTTTTAAGGTAAAAATATAGAGTATGAGCGAAAGCTAAGGGTTCAGATGAACCCATAGTCTCTATACTAGATATGCCCCTGCTGTCATGATCCAACTCCATGGCACGTATTGTCCTTTTTGGGCCTAGGTCGACACAAATTTGACTTATCGGCTATGCCACATAGACCCCAAAAAGTGTGTGTACCATATGAACTTGTATTGTCTTTATAAAACTCTTCACTTTTGTCTCTCATAATGAGATGTGAGATTTACCTAAGGTGACACGTGCACTTCTTTTTCGGAAGTTTGCCAGCCTAGAAGTCTGTCAGTCCTACTCGACCCACCCTCGCCAGCCCGCCTTCCCGTCATAGGCGTCACAGGTACATTTCTTGATAAAAAATAATTAATAATATGACAAAAATTGTTACTAACCTACTATAACAATTTTTTTGTACCAAAGTGTATAAGTTAGACTCTTCAAATTTTACTGCATGTTTTATATATGTAATCATTAATTCTAAACAAATCTTGATATAATTTTCCCAACTCATGCATGAATAATCAAGAGAAGATGGGACAAATAATATAGGATAGACCATAAGGAAAAATAAGGATAAGAAAATGAAAGGAAAAAAGGAATATGTCGATATCATGAGCATTATAGAGAGATGCTATGTTAAAAGAGGAGGTGGGGACCTGTTGTTTTTAGGAAAAAAATGTCCATGGCTGTTGTGGCACCACCATATATGACTCACTCTTTTTAGGCCATGATGGACTCTATCCCAAAATGGAGACTTAATTATTGAGGGACATATTTTGGCAAATGGCTTAGGTTACAGTCTTAGAGATGTTGACGGAAATATTATAAGTTCAAAGCACCACAGTATATACTGATTCTTTGAAAATAGAAATGTAAAACAAAAAAACTTATCTTGCAATAGTAAGAAAATTAAGTAGATGATGTTGACGAGATAGCTTTAGAATTACACGGGTAAAATTATGAACAGAATTCCTACTTTCTCAACTCAATTGGATTGGAGTATAAATGTACACGCGTGTGGTTGACACGAGGAAGATGGTTACTTTAATTTGCATCTTGTTATCTCTATCGTTGTCACCATCTTTTGGTTGAGAACAATGCCAATTAATACTGTCAATTTCTTCAAAAGTTGATTGAATGAGAAATCTTATATCTCACAAAATTTTCACTTATACATTTAAAACATCAGTTCTGTATGAATACTTATAGAAATTATTTTTACGGCCACTTTGAAAATTGAATTTTTTTCTGTACATAACACGTACTTCGAATGGTTGAATATTCTGGAGGAGTGCTTTTTATTATTTTAAAAAAAAATAAAAATCAGATATACGAGTAATATATAGGAAAGACTATAAACTTGAACCAAAAAAGAAAATACAAACATATTTGTAGGAAAAAAAAAGAAAAGAAAAAGAAGTCCCATTGATCGATGAGACAGATACATGCAACCAACACCGATCTATCTAAGAACATTATTTTTCTTTTCCTGTTTTTTTATATTTTGTTATTAGTTTTTCTCCTTATGTTTCGTCTGATTATTTGGAAAATGATTTGCAGAAGCAGAATTATATGGAGTATATGTTTTAATAAACTCCGCCACTATGTGGTGATTGATTTACTTATTAAAAGGAAGAAGAAGATTTGCAGAAGCAGTTACATGCTAATTAATGTTCTTTGGTTACTTATTTTGACAGACGAATGATATTTGAGGTTAGACAGAAAAGTCAAGCTATATTGGGGAAATACTTTGAGAACGTTTAATATACGCAGTGTGAACAAACAAAGGAGAATGGAAATTTGTTTGCAGGAATTCAATCTTGAAATAATACAGTTAAGTGTTAGTGTTAATTAGGAAGAAGATAGTTCAAATCTTTTCCAATAAAATTAAGCTAATCACAATTATTAGCAGTATGAGATTCTTAATTTCTTATCCACGAAAAATAGAAAAATAAATAAATTATGCATGACTTTAGACCAATCCGGTAGCTATCATTTCATCTACAGAGGCAAACCAAAATTGGACAGAGAAAATTAACAAAAAAGGATCACAGTTGCTGAAAAATGGAAGAACTCCTAATTAATCAACAGCAGCAAGCATATATCATTAAAACATCATCGATCTGAATTTGATGATATAATAAGTTATATATGCGAAACAAATTAACCTGAATTCTGGGAAAGAAGAAGTACCAGGAATCTCCCAAGGCTCGGATTTGTTAAGGTCAACTTCGATAAGAAGAGGGTACTGTTGGTCGGATTCAGAACCAGCAACCTTCTTCATTAAGTAATCGCAAATAAGTTCTTCATCTCTTGGATGGAATCTGAATCCTGGTGGTAATTTGGATTCCACCATACTCAGGCTGCTGCTACTCATTTTGAATAACAAGAGGAAGACTAGTAGACAAGTGTATGAAACTCTATATTCAAAGGTGGAGCTGGTAGTACTTCATATAAAATCAAAATATCAGATTTCCTATAACAACGCCAAATTAAATGCTACTCTACTTCATCTATATATAAGCACTACTTCATACCTCCTATATTTATTTTATTATTTTGAGTTTAGTAAATAAATAAATAAATAAATAAATTTCTATGGTATATATATGACTAAATTATCCTTCGAATTTATGGTTTTAAATAAATATGTCATATTATTTATGTGACTAGCTATAAAGACATGTCATAAAAGTAAAATAAAAAATTATATTTAAAATTAAAGAGTTTCTAAGTAAATAATATTTTTTAGAACATACTAATAAAAAATTATATAAATAGAATAGAGGGAGCAGTATTGAAGACTTATTATTATTTCTATTGAGTAGGTAATTAGTAGGAAAAATACATTCTTTTGTTAAATAAAAAACTTCATTATTTTAACTAAAAATAAAATCAAGTGGTTAAGTCAACCAATAATTCCGTGTAATTAAAAGGGGGTTTGTGTGGTTTGAACTTCGAAGAGGATTCTTTGGCCCCACGTCTAATGATGACGTGGATCGCCAATGGTTGCCAACCTGCTGACGTGTCCTTGAGAACTAAGTCATTGCCTACTTGTATTTTGTGATATACTCTTGACCAATCCATAAAATTATCCAAATTTATTCCTGAAATTAATTAGCCAGCCAAACTTCGCATATGTGCTATTTTGCTGATTTCAAAATATTTGGCTTTAGAAAGCGAAAAAGAGATTATAATTCTGGGATGGAAGATGTACCTTATTGTGTTTGTTTCTCAATACCGAGCAAGTAGTATCAAAATTGACAAAGTCTCTTTAGGTAAATAAACCAGTTTATGTAGAGAGAATAATCTTATAGAATTACTCGATAGGAGATGTGGGGTAAAAATTTATTCCCACCCTATATTTGTATCATACCAAGAGATGCATGACATTATTTGATAATAAGCTATTGTCACTTAGTCATGGTTAGGGGTATAAATGGACCGGGTTGGTTCGATTTTTTTATTAAAATCAAACCAAACCAACTATATCGGATTGCATTGGTTCGGTTTTGTCGGATTTTTTGAGTTTTCGGGTTTTTCTATTACATGAATACTATTTCGATCTTACTTTATTAAAGTTATAGATAAAGTTTTGATAAGTGAATATATGTTTATCAAATATTGAAAAAATTGACAAACATATGATTCATTAAAATATTCTAATGAGATTTTTTTTGTAACACATAATAGTTATTTTCTTAGTCATCTAACAATAATTTTTCGTTAATGTACGCTTTCAAGGTTAACAAATGAGGATCCCAAATATTTCTATATTTAAAAAAAAATTAATATAAAGTCTTAAAAATAGATATATAATTTATATATTTATATGTCGGTTTGGTTCAAGTTTTTTATTCAATACCAAACCAAGTCAAACCAAACATAATCGGATTTTTTAATCGATTTAGTTTGATTTTTTAATTTGGTGTAATTTTTCGATTCGGTGTGAATACCCCTAATCATAATTAATGAATATATTTTTCTTATATTATTAAATTACTTAACTACTATAAGTTCATACAATTTGATATAAATGGCGTTGTGGCGCAAAAATGACAAAGAGAGTTGGCACCGAACAAGATGTAGCCTCCATCTGGAAATTGAGGTTTCTTTAAGATATTATAAGAATTAAAAGGCCCACCACTGTACTTAACTATTTAATGACGTGCCCAATGAAAGGATGACGTTTTGGACCGACTTGTTTTGGAAGCATTAGCATTTGGATTGGAGCCCATCTTTTACTTTGAAAGTCCACATTTTACCTTCAATAGTAAGTCCCTAGCATTGGCAATACTAAATATGTCCACTATTTGACCATCTTTTTCAAAAGGAAAAAAAGAAAAGAAAGGACAATAATGATTAATTAGGGCTTTCACTAGAGTTTCACTTAAGAGTCGAAAGAAGTATTATTGTTGGTACATGACCAAACTTTACCTTCCAATAAGAGTAAGAGATTCTTTTTGTTGTGTAGATTCACACTTGTTTTGCTCGTGTGAGAATGTTTTTTTTTTCTTCGTGATTTCCAACTCCTCTATAGCACCCCTCATTCTTCCCCATAATTATTAACTACTCATTTAAGCAAATTATTCGAGTTACTCAGCACTTCCTAATAGCAAAAAAACAAAAAACAAAAAGAAGGTAATATATCTCAACCGTTATAAATAGTGGCGAACATCGGGTAACTTCATACTTAAAACAATAAATTTGAAAATATTTTTTGCTGTTTAACCATACAGTATTCAAGGTTGTCTTGTTGGCAATGTTGTACTAGTAATTTTCAATGTTCAAGACAATGGATAGTAAGTGCCAATTAAAGACGGACTGTTAATGACAACATTACCTGTTTGAGTGAATATAAATTATAATGACACCATTTGAATTAACATAGACACTGATTAAACTTTTTAATTTCTAGTGTAAGGTAAGATGTTTTGGTTTAAAGACAAAACGCACTAGGAAAAAATATATAAGAAAAAAGTTTTTCATTAAAACACAGATCAGTCTTTCCCGTAGCCAAAAACAAAGGGATCGAGTGAAGTTGATTGAACACAGTTGATATGGGGCAAATTTTGATGATTGAAATAAGTGGCAAGCTAATTGTTCAACTTAAAAACATCGAATTAATGATATGAAGACTAATAATTCACGACTTAAAAAGGGCCGCTTTAGCTAATAAAGAGTGGAGTGTGAGTGTTCGGCAATTATGGCCACGCTCAAAAGTTTAACACACTACTAGAAATCACGGAAAATTAGACCGAGACATACTGACCAACGTTGGTCGGTTAACAAAAGCGACCAAAAAACCGTCCAAAGCAGATAGAAACTATCAAAAAAATATTTTATATCTTTTTTAAATTACATACCGACCGAAATTGATCGGTATATTGGTCAAATATTTGACCGCAATGGTCAGACTTGCTTAGTCAAAGTACCTTTTTGATTATCGACCTACATCGGTCGGTAATGTAGACCCACATTTTTAAATTTTTATAATTATATTATTATTTAAATTATTTTATAAAATTTATAATTGAATTTACCGACCAATGTCTCACCAACTTTGGTCGGTAGATATAATTTCTGGAAAATAACCGACCAACTTTGGTCCGTTCATAGGTCAAACATGGTCAAACTTTTGAATCACATTAATATTTACTATCCAAATAATATAAATATAATCCGTTAACACTTTATTTTGTAATACAGATAATGAATACACTAACATATACTATAACAAGCTATATATAGTTAAAGTAGTATAACGAAGTGTATGTGTGTGTGTGTGTATATATAAGTATAGCCACATCTAATAACGCGAAGCGCTAGGGCCACAAGGGCGGGTTCTTTTGGGGATAGACTTGTGAAGAAGCAATAATCTAATTAGTATATATAATTGATCATCATCAATTATATCTATTTGTAAATTGATTCATCGACTTATAACTTACTTAGATGTATCGATGAATATTAAAAATAAAACGTCTCGACTTATATCGATAAATATTAAAAACAAAACGTCTCGACCTATATCGATTAATCTATGTCATGCATTATTAGTGATGAATGAAAGAAACTAAACTTATCTGACATGTATATATGGATCACAAATTAAATAAACTGTCACGACTCAAACCGATAGGCGGCGACGGGTACCCGGTACGTTACTCAAGCGAGTACCAACATAACGTATCTTTCGTATAATTCCATCATAGGTAAATGAACCGGAGTAAAGCATGAGGGAATAAACTTATACATATGACATACTGGCCTATAAGACCTAAAACGATCACTCGTACATTGAACATATGCCGACAAGGCCATACAACCTTTCATATACATGACATCTGTCTACAAGCCTCTAAGAATACGTAATTATCATAAAGGTCGGGACAGAGCCCTGCCATACCAAACAATACACATCTAAATCATACTAACCAAATAAGCAACTCCGGAGAAAATGGAGTGCACCAACATCTTCCGCTGAGCTGATCGCCTACTTGGAGGACTCTAGACCTGTCTATCGAGACCTGCGGGCATAAAATGCAGCATCCCCCAGGCAAAAGGGACGTCAGTACAAATAATGTACCGAGTATGTAAGGAATGAAAATCAGTAAATAATAGACATGAGAGAAACATGGAGTAAAAGACTCGACATGTACGTCTGCATAGCTCTGTGAATCATTTCATTTTTATAATGTCATGCATATGCGTATAAATGTCATACCATGCATAGGTATATGCGTTCATAACATCATAAAGCCTCTTAGGGCATCCCATCATATCATTTCGGCCACTGTGGGCAAATCATCAACGTATACCAGCTGATCAGGTGGTGGTGCGTATATAACGCCATAACCTTTTTCCATATCCCATATACCTATAATATACTCTATATAACACCATCTGGTCATGGGTTAATGTACATGTATAAATGCATGAAATGCATAAGAATTACGTTAATAAGATTTCTCGGAATGTCATAAAAATAAATATGCCTTTCGGATAAACTTTATCAAATGCGTATTTTTCTAAGACTCATGAACAGAAGATATAATAATAATTCACATGGGGAATCAAGAATATAGACACCCCTAGTATTTCTATGAATAGAGTCATTTATGAAAGTTGCGTATTTTGCTTGTTTCATTTGTATTATTTGGATCACGCCAAAAGGAAAGAAGGGATAGCCTTAACATACCTGAACCGATTCTCTTGATAATCTCTTTAACACCGTCTTTTGCGACGAAACACATAACGGCGAGATCGAATTAGGGAATGACCAAATTCAATCACAACAATAGCACAAACTAGATGCCTACCAAGTACTCCATCGTGTGTAATTTGGTATTGTAGTAGGAAGATTTTATGCGTTCTTTTGATATATTATAATGTGTCTTTGTAATGGAAAGAGCACTATATTTGGATCACTTGAAAATCTAAAAGACAAAATGAAGCAAAATGGTCACAATTTCTAAGTGTGTTGCAACACGTAATGA